CAACAAAATGGTATTGCAGAACGAAAAAATAGACACTTACTTGAAGTCTCTCGTGCCATTATGTTTTCAATGCATGTTCCACAATATTTGTGGGGAGAAGCAATTCTCACGGCTGCAAATCTAGTAAATCGAATGCCTTCTAAAATTTTGAAATTTAAAACTCCCTTGAATTGTCTAATAGAATGTTTTCCCACTGTTCGTATTTTCTCTAATTTACCGAAAAAAGTTTTTGGGTGCACTACTTATGTTCACATCCCTAGTTTTTTTCGGTCCAAACTTGATCATCGGGCAGTCAAATGCATTTTTGTGGGCTATGYCTCCACACAGAAGGGTTACAAGTGTTTTGATCCGACAACAAAAAAAGTTTATGTCAGTATGGATGTGTCTTTTTTMGAAAATCAGCCATTTTTTCCCCAAAATTCTCTTCAGGKGGAGGAATCCAGTTATGAAGGTAATTTTTGGGATCTYTCTACCCCTATTCCTAATATCATTTGTCCTGATGGTCCTGATGTCCCTAGTTCCTCAATGCCAATTGTAGAAAATTCTTATTCAGGGGGAGAAACATTACAAAATGACCCTAGTGATCAAAATCTTGAGCTTCAGGTTTATACTAGAAGGCGACCAAATCAAAGGAATGAAGATCAGAGAGCTGACTTGTCACTAAACCAGTCTAATACTCCGAGGWATGATAYTGAAAATGCTGGTAAYGCATCTCCTATTCCTACTTCATCTCCCATTCAAAACAACTTACYTAATGTGTCTGATCTTGATRTTCCCATTGCTCTTAGAAAAGGTGTTCGTAGGTGCACTAAATATCCTATTGCTAATTATCTTTCATATGAAAACCTTTCAGATAGTCATAAAGCTTTCACTTCTAGGATAAATAACATGGTTATTCCAAGGAACATTCAGGAGGCCCTAAATGATTCGAGTTGGAAATTAGCAGTTATGGAGGAGATGAACGCTCTAAAACTGAATTGCACATGGGACATTGTAGATTTACCAAGAGAGAAGAAAACTGTAGGATGCAAATGGGTTTTCACTATAAAATGCAATGCTGACGGTAGCATTGAGAGATGCAAAGCAAGGTTGGTAGCTAAAGGCTTTACTCAAACCTATGGGATTGATTATCAGGAAACATTTGCCCCCGTTGCTAAGATTAACTCCATTAGAGTTCTTCTATCTGTTGTTGTTAACTTAGATTGGCCTCTTTACCAATTGGATGTCAAAAATGTTTTTCTCAACGGATATCTTGAAGAAGAGGTATTTATGGATTTACCTCTGGTTTTGAAATGGATATTGGAAAGAATAAAGTGTGCAAATTAAAGAAATCTCTCTATGGTCTAAAACAGTCTCCTCGAGCATGGTTTGAACGTTTTGAGAAAGTAGTCACTAGCTATGGATTCCTTCAAAGTCAAGCAGATCACACTATCTTTTATAAGCATAGTGGAAATGACAAAATGATTGTGTTGATTGTATATGTTGATGATATTATTCTCACAGGCAATGATGTAGATGGATTGGCCTCTCTAAAGAAAAGACTCGCTAGTGAATTTCAAATTAAAGATTTGGGAAATTTGAAATATTTCCTAGGGATGGAATTTGCTAGATCGAAAAAGGGATCTTTGTTAATCAAAGAAAATACATTATTGACTTACTTGAAGAAACAGGTTTACTTGGGTGCAGGGTAGCTGAAACTCCTGTGGAATTGAATTTGAAGTTGCAAGCTGCGAAAGACGAAGAAGTTAAAGATAMGGASAAATATCAAAGACTTGTGGGTAGACWCATTTATTTGTCTCACACTYGTCCCGATATTACCTTTGCTGTAARTGTGGTAWGTCAATTCATGCACGCCCCTAGTACAKTTCACTTTGAAGCTGTTCATAGGATCTTAAGATACCTGAAAGGAACTCCAGGYAAAGGTATACTATTTAGAAAGCACGACCATTTACAGRTTGAAGTTTATACTGATGYCGATTGGGMTRGTAGTACTGTTGACAGACGATCCACATMTRGCTACTGTTCCTTTGTTGGAGGTAACTTAGTTACGTGGCGTAGCAAAAAACAGAATGTAGTGGCAAGAAGTAGTGCTGAAGCAGAGTTTAGGGCGTTGSCTCATGGTATCTGTGAGGGTATATGGATAAAAAGGCTAYTAGAAGAATTGAAGTTTTCTCAGAAGGCACCTATTCGTGTTTATTGTGACAACAAGGCYGCCATGTCCATAGCTCACAATCCARTCCTACATGATCGGACAAAACATATTGAGGTTGACAAACACTTCATTAAGGAGAAGATCACTGCAGGGGTCATATGTACTTCTTATNCAAAACATATTGAGGTTGACAAACACTTCATTAAGGAGAAGATCACTGCAGGGGTCATATGTACTTCTTATCTGCCAACAACAGAGCAAATTGCTAATGTGTTGACTAAAGGTCTTCCAAAAATGCAATTCGATAAGTTGATTAACAAGCTGGCAATGGAAGATATCTATAAACCAGCTTGAGGGGGAGTGTTGGTTTTATGGTGTTTTTAGTAAATAGTTACTGTAGATACTTATTTATTATTTTTCTTTTATTATTTGTAATTAGTAGATTATTGTGATAGATTTTATTTTGACTTGTTTCTCACCTCTACTTAAGGTGACTTAGGGTTTTATTATTAAAAATATATGAGAAATAATTATTTTTTCTCTCCCAAATTTGAGACCATTGGGCTTTTGTGGGGTTTTCTTTCCCCTTTTGTAATTTCAAATATCAATGAAATTGTTTCTTATCTAAAAAAAATTAGATAGTAGATGTTATGGATGACCATGATTCATTGAGCCTCACGGACACCTTCTTAGGCTGCCACTAGATTCTCTGCATCTGACTAAGAGAAGACTGCATTTTGTCAGCAACAGACACTTTTACAAAGCAATGTTATTTGGCTTGAAGAATGTGGGGAAACCTAGATTATCCAACTGAATGTTTAAGTAAGACAGTGGAGGTGTACATTTGGAGGGACGTGATGCAAGTGTTTTGGACACGTGATCACCCAATGGGATATCAAAGCAACCCCCAACTAGATTTTTGCTGTGTTGGAGATGGAGCTAAGCTATCCGAGTAGATTAAAGAAGCTAAAAAAGGGTTTAGATGCCAGGTTGCAATGTACTCAACATATTCATTTCAAAATCGTTGAACCATTGCCCGACCTGTTTCAAAGAAGTTTGGTTGGATCAAGAAATTGAACTCAAGATAGCCAGGTTCTTTGTTCTCTGCGCTATGATCCCATAATTATTGGACTTGTTATCCAAGTTCTCATAAAAAACAGAATGACCATTACATAGGATACTTCGGCTCATTCTTGGAAGCCACCAATAAGAAGAAGTATAGCAATGAGAAGCTCGCCACTCGCCAGTAGGTCCTTTGAACTGCCACATTTGTTGTCTGGGAGGCCATCCTTGCTGCTCTCAACGGTTCTTTCAAATGAGCCTTACGACCTTATCTCCCTCATGGTTGCTGGTCACCCTTTTAAAAAGGAAAAGAAGATCCTTTGATGCATTACATCAGGCCTTTTTTCTGGAGGACTCGGAACGAAACCACAGAACTTTTCACAAGGAGCAACCTACAATAGGTTTTTTGAAAGTATAGTTTTTTTTTTCTTTTGTCATCTCTGGGTGTAAATTGTCTCACATCTTTCATCATTATAGAGGGGATGTTTTACATAACTCCCTTCAAATGAGGTTTTCCCTTTTGTTATTTCATACCATCAATGAAATTGGTCAAAAATATGGAGATGAAACTATAGTTTCTTGCTTAAGGTTTTTTTTTCTTGTTTTTTTAGTTGTTACTACTTACTAGTTTATTAAAGAAATTTCACCATTACACATGCTAACCAAGGCTATGTCTTAGGTGCACGCTTTCGAATTGGGCTTTCTAAAGTAGTCATCTATGTAGACTCGCCTATTAGTTGAGCGGAGTTCCTCAACATACTCATGCTCAACTCTTCCAATAGAGCTCCACCTTCCTTAGATGGTAGCTGACTTCCTTAGGCATTAATTATTTCTCCCTTAATGGGAGTAGGGGTATGTGTACATGCATATACACCCAAAAATTCACTCTATGATGTAATCTGCATTCGCACCATTTTCACATACTTGATGTACCCGTGTTCAATTTTATTCTATCACATGGCGTTGTCTCTTGTTATAACATTCTGAACTTAATTAATTTATTCAGTTATTCCAACTTCTACAAATGTCATCATTTCTTGGATTGACAACCACTGGAAATACTATATTTGAATTGATTTTGCAGTCTTTACTCTCGAAAGCTGATGCTCAAGTTAAGGAGTTGCGACAGTCAATTGATCGGATAAAGGTCGAAAGCGAGAGGCTGGAGGTAGGATTATATATTTCTCATCAATCCTTAACTCATTATATCTGATGGAAAGATTAGTAAAATTGGAACATGGATACCTTTGTGTCCAATAAATTGAAAAGAGCTGAAATGATTTTTTTTTAACAGGAAAGATAAACTAGTATTGAAAGGGAAATGCTACTCCCCAGGATATTGTTACAAAGTTTGCTAAACCTTATTATAAATCATTGCATATAATAAAAAGTTTAGAAGCAAACAGTCGTAAAAGATAAAAGTGAAAAGGAAACATTGGTGACCTGTATGAAACTTCGGTAGCCATCGGAGAAACTTGGTGACTAGTATAAAATTTAGTAAGGAGGAAAAAGAGTGAAGATTCGAGAGAAAAGAAGAAATAGAAGTCTTGTTTTAGTGGAGTGTTCGGAAGCTATGATGGTTGGCAGAGGCGATTAAGATGAATTTGGAATACAATCAAAACCAGAAATTCTTTAGAAACATAAGAATTACAGAAAGATCATGTTAGGTGGAGCAATTAGCCAACTAAGGTCACTTGTATATGGGATCACTTCTTCATCCAGTGATGAAAGAAGAGATTTGAAAATTAGGAGGGATGGAGATAGGTAAGAAAAGAAAGATACAATTGGCAATGACGAGAGTTCATGGAAGTATACTAAAGAGGTGTTTGATGGTCGATGGCAGTAAAGGGAAGTCAGACTGGTGGAATGGTGAAGGATGTTATACTCATGTGCTTCCCACGATGATTGCTTTGCCATATTGGAAGCATAAAAAGGTCTATTATTGAGGATTGCATACATTATAATCCATTAAAGTCTAACTACATTATCATGTTCACAAGAAAGGCCTCATCTACAAGAATGAGATTTATCAAATAATAGGGACTTGCACTTCGCCGTAGAGCGAGCAGAGTTTTATACAATAGTGGAAGTTTTCTCTTGCAGGGATAGTTATTTCCCCCAGTTTTAGCACTTGGCTTTTCAGTTTTAAAATTTATCTGACTGTATGGATGAGGTAACTTGACTTGACAGTTGACATGCTGTATGAAAGAAGCTCACATGGCATTCATGCAAGCATATGAGTTGTAGCGTCCAAATGGAAGGCATTCAGAAGGGATCATGTTTTATTTTTGTAAATTTGCAGTAGGATGTGATAACTTAATGAACTGTACAAAAGATGCTCACATGGAATGATGCATTATGCATTGTTAGGGTTCAATTCAAACAGAAATCATCCAGAAAAGGATCGTGTTTCATATTTGTTAAATTCGCATCTGTAATTTGTCAGTTTTTCCATTTTATCAATTATTTGTACTCTAGGAGTGAGAAACTATTATGTTATTCATTTCAGAAAAGAACACTTCAAGCAGAAGGGGAATTGTTACGAGGAAGAACAAAACTCAGGTTTGCACTCAATTTGTAGGTAAAAGGGTGTCAGAAATATACCTCATTGGTGCCCGTTCTCATCTTTTTTTTCCTGTTCTCCTGCAGGCAAGCAGGCAAACAGATTGAAGGTGTGATTCAATCTGCTCATACAATTGAAAGAAAGGCAAGAGGTACGAAAATTGAAACGGGGTCTTCTAGCCACGTTAAAATTGAAGGATGGAAGAACATTGTGCATGGAATTTTTGCTACATCTCATTTCATTCTATTGTCTGTATCATGACATCAGGTTTGAAAGATATTCTTGCAGATCTTCCCACAAGGGAAGCTTCACAATTTAGGACTCAGGTGAGTGTTATATATTTAACTATTCATTTCTTTGTAGTGTCAGATCCCCATTGAACACATTTGGTTAAAAGGAACTTCAGGATACACAGCCTATAAACTTATAGTTCTTCCTCGTAGTATTACCATTTTAATGTCTCATAGTAGGGGGTGAGCATAGGAGACCGAGAAACCCATCTGACTGACCAAAACCGACCAAACCGACATTTGTCGGTCGGTTTAATAACAATTTTGGTTGGTTTCGATTTTAGAAAAACAAAAACCGAGTATGATCGGTCGGTTTGGTCAGAAAAATGATTTCCGACTGACCGATTGACCGATCATTTATTAATATTAAAAGAAAAAAATGAAGCAGACTGCATTTAATGCAGTTTGCTGCAGGCTGAAATCCAATGGCCGCTGGTTTTCAGCCTATTCATTATTATATATTTTTTTATTTTTTAATTATTTTTATTATCTTTTCATCTTTCTTCTTTCCTATTCTCTCATTTTCCTCTGTTCTTATCTTCTCCTCACCTCACCTCTCCCTCCATTCTTTTCTTTTCTTCTTCCCATATTTTCTCGTTCTCCTCTTTCCTCCATTCTTTTTCTTCTCCTTACCTCTCCCCTCCATTCTTTTCTTTTCTTCTTCCCATATTTTCTCGTTCTCCTCTTTCCTCCATTCTTTTTCTTCTCCTTACCTCTCCCCTCCATTCTTTTCTTTTTCTCTTCCCATTTCTCAGCCGCACAGCACTCCACGGTCAACATTTTTTTTCGCCTTCTCATTTGAAATTTCCACCGGCGCATCTCACACCCTCACTCTCATCCTCTTCTTCGTTTTGAGTGCTGCAGCGCCACGACCTCGCTTCCTTTCAATCTTTTTTTTTTCCAAATTTAAATGTCGATTTTCTGACAACCGACCGAATTGATTGTCAGTCGGCCGACACAGAGATGGTTGGAAAAATCATCGGTTTTCAGGTCTGGAAACCGTCTACATCGGTTTTCAATGTCGGGGTTTGCCAAAAACCGACCCCGATTGATCGATGCTCACCCCTATCTGATAGGCCCCAAATCACTAGAGTATATGAAAACCAAGGGGCAAACTCACCGCCACGAGGTTTGAGACAAGGGGATCCACTGTCTCCATTCCTCTTCATCATGATGACGGATGACATAGCCGGTTGCTCCTCCATGGAGAACACAAAGGCTTCCTCCCAGGTTTTGTCTATAGATGTGGTTTGGTTAATATTGAGCATCTTTTTGCGGATGACACTCTTATTTACCAAAAAGGATTCCACCACCATAAAAAATCTCCACAAAGTCATCAATTCTTTGAAGTTACCTTGGGTCTCAACATAAATTACAAAAAATCCAGCGTATATTGTGTTTCTATTAACCCACAAGTCATGGAGCAGATTGCAAAAGAATAGGGTTGTGCAACAGGGAGTTGGCCAAGCAGTTATCTGGGTCTTCTTCTAGGGAATCCTAGAATGGAGGTCTTTTGGCTGCCTATTATTGAAAGGCTTCAACATCGGCTTAGCAGATGGAACAACCTATTCATCTCTAAAGGGGGGAGACTCACCATTCTACAATCAGTCCTCACAAATCTCCCAATCTATTACCTCTCCCTCTTCAAGCTATCCGAAAAGGCTGTCGAGCGTATAAGTAAAATCTTCAGAGATTTCCTATGGGAAGGATTGAGTTTAAATGGAAGCCACATCTCATAAATTGGACCCGTACCCAGCTTCCACTTCATGAAGGAGGCCTAGGTGTTGGGAACATCAATCAAAGGAACCGAGCCTTATTATCCAAATGGATTTGGAGATTAATTATTGAGCCAAACCAGCTGTGGAGGAGGCTCATCACGGCAAAATACAGTGGTTCTCTCTCGGTTATTTGGCCTACCATCCAAAATAGCTTGTTTAAGGGACCATGGACTGGAATCATAAAACAAACCAGCATCATAAAAGACATATGCAACCTGCAGAGTGGGGGAAAGAAGTCATCTCAGCTTTTGGCATGATAAGTGGCTTTCACAAGGCTCATTGGACAGCCTCTTCCCAAACCTTTTTGCCATATCAACAAACAAAGAGGCCACTATAACAGATCTTTGGTCACAAACTACATCCTCCTGGGATTATAATTTTTGCAGACCTCTAAAGGATGAGGAGCTTACAGATTGGTTGGGTCTCTCCCATATCCTAAATGAGATCATGCCCACCTCCCTTGATGACCGTTGGATATGACCCCTAGAAGCAAATAGATCCTTCTCCACAAAATCGGCTTACCGTACCCTCACTACAAACACAAACATCATGGCCTCCACCCACTTCCCACGAATATGGCAAGGGAAGTGTCCTAGAAAAGTCAAATTCTTCTGTTGGGAGCTTAGTCATGGGGCGATCAACACCCACGATGGGATTCAGAAAAAGCTCCCACATATTACCCTCCCCAAATTGTTGTCACTTATGTTTTGAAGCTCCACACAGGGCCATCTTTTCATTCATTGTGCTTATGCAAATCGGTCTTGGAATCATCTCCTTCCTACCTTTGGGTGGAAGATAGCCCTGCACAACAAACCATCTACCTTCCTTGATCAGCTTTTTGGCGGGACATCCTTTTAAGAAAGGAAAAATGACTTTGTGGGTTCAATTTGTTCGGGCTTCCCTATGGAGCTTATGGTTAGAAAGGAACAATAGGGTCTTTAATGACAAAGCCCTCCCTTTTGATATCTTTTTTGATAGGGTTACTATCCTAGCTCTTGGTTGGTGTAAATGTTTCTACCCCCTTCAATAGCTATTCTCTAAATGAACTTATTATAGCTATTCTCTAAATGAACTTATTACAAGCTGGAAGGCTTTCTTGTAATTGCCCATGAGGCATTTTGTATATTTCATACCATCAATGAAATATTTGTTTCATTTAAAAAAAAAAATGAACGCAAGGATGTGAGGAAGAGGGAGTTGGTGTGAGAGGGAGCATTACGCAATAGCAGGTGGAGCCCATAGGGAATTTTGTTAGTTATGTGTGGGCCCATACTCATAGACGTATAAGGTGGGGGCGGCTAGCTGTTTTGTGTATCTTTTTGGATAGCATTTATGTGTTTTCTCTGCTTTGACTTGTGTTTTTTTTTTTTAACAAGATACAAACTTTTCATTGATATATGAAAAAGAACAAAATTGTTCAAAGATACAAACTCCCGAAGGAGTGATAGAGAAAAACAGGAAATAGAAAATAAAACATAGGACAAGACTACAAAGGAGAAAATAAAACAGGAAATAAAGGCTTTGACTTGTGTTTTTGATAAATAAAATTGGGGCTTCGGCCTATCAAAGTCTTCAATCTCTTATCTTATGTGATAATTCTGATTTGATGTTTTGAAAGCCCACTTTGTGTGTGCGTGTGCACGTATATATATTTTTTGGTCCAAAAAAGGGAAAAAATAAGGAATTTGCTTTATATTGAAATATACGTACACTCATCTTGGCAGGTTTCCAACCTTGCTTCTGAGGCAAAGAAGGAAAGAATTGCCTTGGGAAAGGAGGTCTCCAAAATTAGCAACTACGGAATATCTGTCTGATAATTCAAATTCAACATTGGGTCAGTCCTTAACGATATACACCCATCTTACTCTCTATTTCAAATTTGGCCTAGTCTGCTCTGAATCTTTGAATATATGCACGACTTGCATATCCTCTCTCATTTTTCTTTTATTTTCTGTGGGAGGAATAGCTTCTTTTAATTTTTATATTGCTCCGGCAAAATAAGTTTTGAAGACTATCCATTGAGTTGTACCATTGAAAGGTGAACTTGATTATTCAGTAGAATAATTATATATGCAATACCGATAGAGTTGGTTTTTTTGATTATATCGTAATCTTAAATTTTGAATGGTTGATATAGTGAATGGTGAGAATCATGGATAATATTTTTCATTTAGTCAAAAAGGTAGAGTTAGATTAGGATACTAATTCAAAATCATGTAGTACATACATTCAAAATCATGTATTGACTGTATAGTAAGAATTGTGAGCTCGTCAGTCAGTAGTCCAATGAATATTCCTTATCCCATTACTTGTGTACTAATGTGATTGCATGTTGTTGAGGAAGATTATCATTATCTTCTAAGTAAGAAATGATTGGGATGCTCGAGTCAAAAAAATACATCTACCCAATAGAATTTGGTTCTTAGATTATCACGACAAACATAGAGGATTAGATATATCTTAGTCACTGAACTATATTCAGGTTGACAATCTTGAGTTAATTGTTACTAAATAAGATATTGAAGTTTGATTAATAAGATACTGAAGTTTGATTAATTAGTGAGATTGTTTCTCGTCCATGTTGGACGTGGGATCTAGACTAGGACGTGGAGATCTAGACTAGGTGTTACTAATTGATTGTTTCTTTTTTCTTCTTATTCTTCATATGGTCTTGAATCTTGAGGTAATGAACTTGGAGAGTTTTATTTATCAAGCTTTCTACATTTAGGTCATTTGAAAGCCTGCCATTATACACCTTTTGGCATATACAAAATTTTGCAACACTTGGTTTACATTTGTCCAAATAGTAAATGACATCTTTCTTTTCTCTAAGGTGGGAGGTTCATTCTCATACTTCCATATTTGTTGTACTAAAAGAAAATGAATAAAGTAAATTTTATTGGTGGACTTATGATAATTCTATATTTTTTTAAGTAAAAAGTGGAAAAAGAAACAAACCCGAGAAATGAAGCATTTTTGGTTCATAAACTTCGATGTTTATGCTTCCTCTTTGATTATGGTCAATAAGGCTTTAGAGGAAAGAGTGAGCCTAGGTGAGCTCCACCATTTCCATCTTTGTAAAATTGCATTTCTAATGAGGTCACTTTTCAAATGGGGAATCTTTCATTTAGGATCGATAAGGCTTTAGAGGAGGATTTTTCTCATTACACTTTGAAGGAGGGGGAGGAGATCACAGTCCCAACCTCATTCTCCATTTCTCGTTCTTCATTTTTTTGTTTTTCATTCCTTCATCTCTATCATTGCCTTGGCTCATTAAAGCTCGTCTTTATTGTATTAAATAATGTGGATACACGATAAGATTCAACTTCTAGAAGCAGCAGTCAACACGATGTTGTTTCACCTTGGTATTATTATTACTTTCATTCAACAAACGAGATATTTTGAATGATAACATGCACTTTATCCACTTCAGATTAACAATGTTCGTCACATTAGACCATTAGGAATGCATTAGTATTGAGAACATTTTGTAACTAGATATTTTTCCTTGATATTTAAAGAGACTTTTTGTTATTGGTCATTTTTATATTAATTAAGATTTCGGTGATTACATTTTTGCTCATTGCTCAATCTTAGTGCGACCATTAGTGGCCAAACAATCACCCCCATCGAATTTGATGAATTCTTATGTAAGTTTAAACATTGTTCAATGGATCTAGACATTAACAACCTCCCTACAAGAAATAAAGTTTGTGTGAATTGTAAGTCTGAATTTCTGCACTTTTTTAAGATTTTTTTTCTTCTTTCTATTATTTGAAGTCTTCTATTTCTCACTTTAGATTCACTTGATCAAATTGTTTTCTTTAATTTCGATTAAATTACGAAAAATTATTAAAATCAAAGTAAAAAATTAGCTATGAAATTAAAACTTTTAAATCAACCATAAAATATCTAGTTTGAGCATAACTTAGCACTTAAAAGAAGACATTTCTACCTCTTTAAAAGACATTTTATTGAAATATTGATCTAGTCATGAACTAAAATATGTTGCAATTTTGTCTTTATAAATTACAATTTAGTTCTTAAATGTTTGTATATAACAGTTTAGTCTTTAAAAATGGTAACAATTTAGTCTTTCATCTGGCATTGCAACTCAATGAGAATTTTCACAGTGGTATAAAGATTAAATTCTAAACTACATGGGTTTTTTTTTTTTACTACTAAAATACAGTGATTAAATCATTATAGATTTTAAACCTTTAAATATAAAGATTAAATTGTTACATGGTAAAGTTGACTAAATTGTTACTTCAAGGCTAAAACGTGTTGCCAAAAATTTTGTTTAATAATAAAAAATCATGTCGGACCTTCCATTTTTGTTGGCTACCTGTTGGTAAAAGAAATAATGCTAAATATATGTGTTAGTTCCAAGGTTCAGAATTTCGACATTAACAAAAATTTTGAGGTCTTGATTTTACGGAATTGTTGATGTCAATACAAATTTTGAGAAAAAGTATGGAAAACATGAGAATTAATAGGAATTGTTTCAATTAGTAATTAATATTTTATTTGTGAGTTAATTGGACTATAACTGACTACTTGTAATTGTGAAATCAAAACACATAAATAATTTATTGTATGAAAATTTTAATATCGATGGGAATTTAGGAAAAAATAATGGAAAGCCTAGGGATCAATATAAATTATTTAAATTAATAAATGAGGATTGTAGAATCATAATCGGTCACGTTATTATTGATGAAACTATATTTTATTTGGGGTCAATTATAAATTAACTCTAAATTAGAATTAAAGACAAAATGACAATTGCCAAATAATGTCACATGTCTTTGATTGGGACATCTGGATTGAATTTAGGCTTTATTTGCTTACCAAGAATTAAAATGAGAATGAATCAAAATGAAAATCAATCGTAATGAAAATATTATTCTTTTGATGCTGTTTACCAAAAATTTTTTGGAATCAGAATTAGAATTTCTTTGATCTTGTTTACTAAAACTGTCTGGAATCAGATAGATGACAATTACTAATATACTCCTTTCTTCTTTTTAGATATTATAAATACATTCTACTAATTTTCTTTAATTACAATAATAATTATATTTTATTTTATTACTATATTATTGATAGTAAATATTTTTTATCATAACAATTTATTTAATATTAATAGAAAATGAATAATTAAAATAAAATTACATCCACTGAAATACTTTTTTATTAGAACCATCATCATTTAATATAAAATATTATTTTTTTAATACAACATGTGGGGGTGGGGGATCAAACTCATAACCTCTTGGTTGGAGATATATATTAATTACCAATGAGCTATGCTCGCTTTGGCTAATATAAAATATTATTAAATTCTATTATTATAATATTTAATAATAATGAATTATATTTTAAAAAATTATTGATATTAATTAATAATAACAAAATAAAATCAAAAGATTAAAAATTAAATATAAACTTATAATATTTTATAATAAAATCACATCAACTAATAAAATGGGTATAAATTTTTATTAGAAGAAAGATTATTAGTAATATAAATGAATAAGAAATAAAAAAGGGGTCTCATTAATACTCGAGGGAGAAAGGGTAAAAGTAGAAAAATAATTGCAATTAATGTATGGGGCCAATGAAATAAGGAATGCGAATGAGATTGATGAGAGTGTAGGAGAAGAATGAGATTGCCCCATTTTAAGAAATAGAAATGAAAAAATTGCGTGGGTCCCACCATTTGATTCTCATTCGTACAATTTGGTAAACACCATAGGAATGAAAAAATTGATTGTTATTCCTTCATTCTCATTCCCTTGAAGTAAACATGACCTTAATGAGTTTAATTGGGTCATATGAAAATTGGTACCAGAATCAATTTAGTTCAAAAAATCCATTAAATGGTAATTTGGTCATAGCTCGGAACTCAAATTATATAAGACCATTGTAGTAGATTGATAATAGAGTTTTTTTAAATTTGAACTAAATTCACTTAAAAAAATTAGGTTGGGTCCAAAATCACTTGAGTCTAACTTTAAAGCTAAGTTCAAAAAATCACTTAACCTGAATCTTCTAAAATTAAATTGGGCTCGTGACCTAAATAAGAGCCCAAGTTCATGGGTTGGGTTCATAATTACTCAAGCCCAAAGCCCACTAAAGCATGTGGGAAGCTCTATAAATAGATGAGTCTTTTTCATTTCAAAGGATTTAGAAATTGAAAATTGAGAGAATTCAAACATCAAATATGAAGACTCTCCCTAAAGAATTCATGATTGGAAAACCAATTTGAAAACTTTGTAAGACTTTTGGAGCACATAGAACTTCGATTCAAGTTCGAGAACAAGCATCTCAATCTTCGCATCAAATTCAAGAGAGAATCAGAGGATAAATATTATTAGATATTAAATTTATTACACAAACATACAACAACATAAAAGTTGAACTCCACGAAATACACTTTCTCTGGAAATCTCGTGTGGACAATCATTCTAGAGGTTTGGCAAAATGAGCAATTCTACTTCAGCCATATGATAGTGGTTACATACGGTAAAAGGCAATGAAAGGACATACATGAGCAAATTTCTTAGCAAATCATCAAATCCCATTAGATGGAAATTGTGCGAGGACTTGCCTGACGAAGAAGTCTTCTATGTTGAAGTTACTGAAACTTGGACCATGTACTTCAACGGTGTAGCATGAAAGAATGGAGCATGGGTAGGTGTTGTTTTCATATCACCCGAGAAAAATATGCTATCCTATAGCTTCACACTTGGTGAATTGTGTTCGAACAAGATTACCAAGCACTCACCATAAGTCTCAAAATGGCCGTAAAAATCATAATAACGTACATCAAGATCTACGATGATTCACAGTTGATATTTAACTAATCTCTGCTTGAGCATGATGCGAAGCACGACAACCTTAAGCCCTACTTCACTTATGCGAGACAACTACTGAAAAACTTTGAGGGCGAAACACTAGAGGATGTTCCTGGTTCTTAGAATAAGAAGGCAAATGCCTTAGCAAACTTGGCTACTACCCTTACAATTTCGAAAGATGAGATGTTAAACATCTCACTTTGCCAAAAATGGATCACTCCACCAATTGAAAATGAGTGT